GCTTGGCCTGGCAGGTGAGTCATTCTATTTACCTTTCCTGAGAGGCCTCCTGCCCCTTCATTTGTTTCAATTAGCCTGGCTCTGCCTGAGCAGCTACAGCCCACGTGGCCCGATGCCGGCTGTGTGCACCCCTCCCCCAGGGTCCTGCATTTTCTACCACCAGCAACTAGAGCAGAGGTACCTGGCTGACTCCTTCCGCGCCCTGTCTTCACACTCCGCTGGGCATCAGAGCACAGACCCAAGGGACAACCCTAGAGGTGGACCTCAGTCCTTCACGGGTCCCATTCCGCCCAACAAGGCTCTGGCTTGCTCACATGGCTGCGTCAAGAGCCTTTATCACAAACACTTTATCAAGGGACTACTTAGACTCAGGGTGCTCCTAGAGGAAGCCCCACTGTGGTGACAACTGTTTCCTGGACTGAGTTAGCTTAGCCCACTCCGCCTGGCCTGTTCCCATGCACAGCGGCTCCAGCCTCCCAGACTCTCCAGCACTCCCTGGGCGCTTCAAGCCCCGCTGTCCAGGATATGCACAGCAGCTACTCCTCGACCCTTTATTGAAGGACATACATTGGGCACATGGGACACCACAGTTCATAGCATGACTCCTCCATCATATTCACCCCCACTCCATCAGTGTGGCCTGTGCCAGGGTCAGGACAGGCTGAGGGAGTGTGGACAGCGCAAGCTGCTGTCTGGCTGCGTTGTCTCTCCAGCCTTGGCCAGGCGTCTGGTTCTGAGTTGTCCTGTAAGGCCCTTACTGAATCCAGCCTGGCTGGGCTCCCGTGGGGCTTCAGGTGGGGCTGTCAGTCAGCCCTGAGAGACTGCTGGCGATGGAGGTCTCCACAGAGGGTTTAGTCCCATTGCAGCTGCCTGCAGTCACGAGCTGAAGTTTCTCTCCAGGTTCACCGTGACTAGACCCTGCTGGGACCGTGTGGTTGCCACGGCAGCTAGCCATCTGTTCCTCCTTAAGGGCTTTGCCTTCTCGCCATCGCCTCCAACGCAGCAGTAGCTCTGCCTGCACCTAGGGGAACCATGGGTAGGCCCACTCTGCCATCCCAACTCACTAGGTCCTGCCTGGGTCACTCTGAGGTGCCCAGCCTCAGTCTAAGCAGACCTAAAACATGGCAGACTCCACAATGGGTACAGCAGGGCAGTTTGTCACCGGGGAAGGCGGGAATCACCTACACACTGAACTCCTTGAGGACCTGGAGGAACCTGACATCTAACACATGCACCCATAACAATGGGGAGGAAGCTATGGTCATACTAGGGCATGGCCGGCCTCTCACCCGGCTCCAATCCTGGGGCCAGTCTCACCTACCTCCTTGTTGAGGAAACAGTAGAGGACAGCCACCAGCAGACCCTAGAGAAAGAGGGAGGTCAGGGGCAACACTCTGGGCCCGAGGTATGGAGGGTATGGCGGGGACTCACCTGGAAAGAACTGAAGAAGAGGTCGAAAAAGAGCTTGATGGAACGGAGGGCGCCCTGGGCATGCTCGTCAGTCACAAAGGCAAAGACCACCTCATGGACCCCCAGCAGAGGGATGAGGGTCAGCGTGGACCTGGCTAGCCTGCAGGGGCAGAGCTTGACCGTCCTCACCTGCCGGGGCTCCTGGGCTCTCCCCACAAAGGCACCAGTCCCCAACCCCAACCCTCTTTGGCCTGGGCCCCGGCTTTTGCCCATGCCCACCGGAACTTGTAGTCAGCATAGTGCATCTGCCGGGCACGCAGCTTGGCCACAAGAAGGTTAATGATGCGGACAAAGATGAAGAAATTGATCTGTGTGAGGGAGAACAAGGTTAGGGGCCGCCTGAGAACTTCCTGTGTCTGGCATGGTGCTCATGTGTCCCCCTCCAGGCGAGGTTGTTGCCAAGTGAGCCCTAGACACAGGGTTCCAGGGCTGGCAGGCATCCAGCCAAGGACAGGCAGCCTGACCCACAGCCCAGGCTATACAGCCTCTTGGATAAGTGCTGGGATTACCCTCCTCGTAGCCTGAGAAGGGAGAGTAACCCTTTTCCTGCTGAGCGCAACAAAGTAACTTGTTTCCTCACCAATATGGCCAGTAAGACAGGGATCCGCAAGATCCACCAGAAAACCATGTTGTCATTGCTGGTCCAGCACCTGCAAGGGCCAGTTGCTCACATCTTGGGGATAGACGCAGCTCCCCAGCACCTACCCCTATCTGCTGGGATCTACTGAGTGCCCCAAGAAAGGAAAAGAGAGCGTCTTTAATGAACCCCAACTCCAGACCCTGGATTTACATTTCTTGCCAAAGTGTGACCCTCATCCCCATCTCCCTACCCCCTGGGGTCACTTTACAAAGCCCAGCGCCATCGGCCCCAGCTGCCCCAGCCCATCCTGTGAACTCATACTCACTGGACATTCTCAAACAGACACTTGACCACCACCCAGGGGATGACAAACAGCAGGGGTGCCCCTGTGGGAACAGCAGCTGTGGTTCCAGGGCCCCGGTTAGCTTGCCTCCCCGTTCTCCCCACAAGCCTACTCACCCCAGCCAATGCCCAGGTAGAGGGAAAAGAAGCTCTTTTCTTGGAAGGTGGCAAGGCTCAGCAGGCTGTACAAGTACACACCCTCCACCAGCAGCCAGCAATAGTTGGCGATGATGCCGTACTGCGTGATCACCGTGGCCACTCGGCAGCCAGCCACCGCCTGAGCAAGGGGAGGCACGATTGGGGCCCACGCCACCCTGCCACCCCACACAGGCTGGCAAGCGCTCAGAGATCTGGCTCACCCCATCGCTGAGCCAGACGCTCACGCTAAGGTCATCTCCAATCTTCTGGCTGTAGCGTGTCTTGAGCAGCCAGTCTACGACCAGCACAGAGCCGGCCTTGAGCACAAAGGACGCAAACAGGTTCCCGTGGATATAGTTCCGGGTGCAGTGCATCTTCCTGTACAACAGCAAGTCAGCACCACCCCTGTCCTGTCCCTCTGTCCCCCTTCACCACAGCGGGCGTGAGCTGAGCGATCAGCAATATACCTGAGGCCCAGCAGGATGACCAGGGCAAGGAGCAGGGCCCCCAGGGACAGACTGTAGCCCACAGTGTACATCACCTGGTAGCTGCTATACATCTTGGCCACTTCCTTCTGCAAACCAGAGGTTGAATGGGGCCTGGCAGCACCTCATCTCCCCGGCTCCACTCAGCCCCACTGGGATACCACCCCAAACCCTCCAGAGCTGACCTGGACCTCGATCTCTTCGTCGTCCATCTGGCACTGGGAGGCGTTGCGCCATGGCTGCCCCCGCGGCCCTCGCACCCACTGCCCGTCAGGCCCGCACCTCTTGAACACCAGGCGATGCTGCACTGGGATTGAGTGCAAGGTTGGGGTCAGCCCACCCCCATGCTCCGCCTCGGGTCAGCCCACCCCCATGCTCCGCCCCCTAGGCTTCCCAGGGCCTCCATAGTTACCTTTGTGGTACCAAGGTAGGTACCAGGGGCAGGAGATGTTAGCTGTGGTATTGGGCGGGGTGTCAGGCCAGCAGGAGTACTTGTCGAAGGTTCTATTACAAACCAGCTCTGTGAAGATGAAGGAGGGTGGAGGAGGGGCTCCCATCAGGACCAGAAGCCCCCCCTACCCCCCCCCCGAGGATCACCATCACTTCATTGAGCCTGCATCCCAAGAGGCTGCCTCCCTGACGTGGGACACAAGGTGCAGCTCCTGGCCAGTTATTTTGCCTCCTGAACTCCATACCCGCCTCCCCCTCCAGCCCAGCCAACGCTTGAGTTTGCCAAGGTCCCTTTCCTTCAAGATCTCACATCTCAGCCAAGCGGTGGTGGCGCATGCCTTTAATCCCAGCGCTTGAGAGGCAGAGGCAGGTGAATCCCTGTGAGCTTGAGGCCAGCCTGGTCTACAAGAGCTAGTTCCAGGACAGCTAGGACTGTTAATAAGGAAACCCTGACTCGAAAAGCCATTAAAAAAAAAAAAAAAAAACTCTCCCATCTCAAATGTGCCCCAAACTGTGGCTTTTTTCAAAACTAGTATTAAACTTTTTTCATTTATTTATTTTATGTGTGTGCATATGTACATGTGTGTTATATACAGATACATGCACACACGTGTGCACATAAGCGTATAGGGTCATAGGACAGCCTTGCATGATTCATTTCCCCGTTCTCACTGTGTGAGTCCCACAAATCACTGCCCCCCTCCTTGTGATACATTCCTTCCCAGATGCTGATCTCTGGTTTGGTTAGCATCCTTTCCAGGCCCAGGCCGAGTCCCAGCTGCAGCTCCTACATCCTCCTCCCTCTCTTCCGGGCACTGGTCATCTCCCTCAACTGGACAGTGGTATGGACCCAGTCTCTCTCAGCACCCACCCGTGACCCTATCCACTGTCTGCCCACTGTGAGCAGTGAAAGCAGAGGCATCTGATGGCTGAGGAGGGGCGTCCTGCAGCACGGAGGACAGCAGAACAAGCCAGCCATGCGCCAGTTCTGCAATTCTACTGTCTCCTGACCGTGCAGCCATAGGGAATCTCTTGCTTCTGGAGGTCAGTCGCCTGGCCTGTATATGCGGGCAGGTGGCTGGGCATGAAAAAGCCACTGAACACTCCCATAAGAAGGTCTCCTGCACTGCACACTGAGGCAGGGAACAGGACCCAGGAGTCTGCAGGCGGGACTCACCCGTAGGTGGGGGCAGTAGGCTCAGGTTGTGGAGGCACTGATCACCATAAAGCTTCCAGTTCTCGAACAAGAAGTCCATCACCTGGGCAGAGGGTGCTTTCGGCTGGGAGACCGGTGGGCCAGCAACCAGGGAGACAGACGGAACAGGGAGCCATCAGCACTTCTGTGCAGAGCAGGCAGCCCTCCGTGCAGGGTGTGGGGTGCACAGCGCTCACCAGACATAACAGCAGCAGGAGCAGCAGGTGGGGACTGTGGAGCAGGATGCAAGGCATGCCCTTGGTTAGCCAACCCCCACATCTGGCAGGGGTTGCACGTCTGGGTCCTTGGGGTGTGTACACCCCTCCTCAGGCTGCAGAGAACAAGAATAGAGAGTCTGGAGAAAGTCTATAGAGTATTGTGTCCTCTAAGACCAAGCCTCTGAGCCTAAGGCCTCCTGATAGCTGAGGCTTGTAGAGGGGACGTGTGAGTAGCTCCCAGTGCCAACCCAGAGACAAGTGACTAGGGGCAGCTATTTTCCTGCTCCCTGGGGCTGACAGGAGTCAGCCTTCCTATCTGACCACCCAGACCTCTCAGACTGGCACCAACTACCTCCTCCCTCCGTTCTGTTGCCCTGGCTGGGCCCAGACCTCCCCACCTATGCTTAACCCTTGGAAAGTTGACTGGTCAGCAATCTAACCCAAGATAAAGAGGGTGAGGGTAGCGTGCCCAGGCCCGTCAACGCTTGGCCCTTGTGTTGGAGCCATTTCTGGACCGCCAGAGGCCAGGCGTGTGTTGGGGCGTGTGTTCATATGGTCTCCTCCACCCTATGTCCTCTTTCCCAGGACCAGTGTGTCCATATAATGTTGTGGACCTTGTACAAGGCTCTCAGATTGGGCCTCTTGGTCACAAACTGGTGGCACATTCCTTTAAGATTAGCACTGCTACTGCCAGGGCCCAGATGGGGGACACCTCTGCCTGATGCTGCCTGTAGGTCCTGGGAACACCAGTGACAGGCCCTGAGCAGAAGCAACTACACACACATCAGTCCCACACTGCTTCAGAACCCTTCCTGGCTCCGATGCATTTTCATGGAGGGAGAGAGAAGAGCTACTTAGGGCCTGTAAGAGGTCGCACTATGAACTTCCCAGGGCTGAGGCAGGCCTCCTGTAAACCCACAGACAGGATATTATAACACAGAGCCAGGCATGGTGGCACAGACCTGGAGTCCTAGCATTTAGGAAGCAGAAGCAGGAGGATCACCCAAAGTTCAAGAGCAGCCTGGTCTATATAGTGAGTTCTTGGCCAGCTGGGACGATATAGCAAGATCTGCCCCCTCCCACAGAGGTGGGGAAGAGAGGGAGGATGAAGGGGAGAAGAGAAGACGTGGATACGGCTAAGGTAGAGGAATTTGCAGGGATCCCAGGTGCCAGAAAAGGGGACCCCTGGATTTTAGTCTGCTATAGTAAGCCCAGTTGAGCTCTAGAGGCAACAGCTTCACTTCTGCCCTGCCCTCCTGTACTTCTCCTCCTCCTCTTCTCCTTTTTCTCCTCCTCCTCCTCCTCCTCCTCCTCCTCCTCTTCTTCTTCTTTTTCTTCTTGACAGGGTTTCTTTATGTAGCTTTGGTGCCTGTCCTGAAACTAGCTCTGATAGACCAGGCTGGTCTCGAACTCAGAGCTCTGCCTGCCTCTGCCTCCCGAGTGCTGGGATTAAAGTTGTGTGCCGCCACCACCACCAGGCCACTCCTGTACTTCTGACCCCCCTTCGGTCACACCTGGCTCATAGCCTACTGTGGGACTCCTGAGCCTCACTCTTGGTCAGTAGAGTCTAGCAGGAGGCAACATCAAGGAGTTTTAAGTCTCTGGAACCTGACCCTTAGAGCAAAATAAATACCCACAGAGTATAGGGTTCCTGCAGAGAACAAAACAGCAAACAGGCTGAAAAGGAGTTTAGGTGTCCCTATCTCCCGGTCACCAAGTAGCCTTACTCTCCTGATTTGGATCAAATTGCACCATCTGCTGCCCAGGTCACTAGTGGGCTCGGTATGGAGAAGTCAGAAGCTGGGCCTTTACCCACTATGTCTGGTCCCCACCCCAGAGCTGCTGGGGTCCCCCAGTGGCCCTGAAAAAAAGGAAGGGTAGAAATGGGAAGGCTTCAGGGTTGAATAACAAGGAATGACCAGCATGAGTAGACAGATAGGGGGGATACAGGTAAGGGGCACGGGGAGAAGGAATACTGGTCCAAGGCCCTGCAAGGGTGGACATCAGTCCACTAGCAGCAAACCGTCCTTAGAGCCCAGGTCCCCCTCCATTGCCCTGCTGAAAGCATGAGTGTTCAACAGCTGGGTGGTCCCAGCAGCCTGCAGTCCCAGCACTCAGGAGGCAGAGGCAGACAGATCTCTGAGTTCAAGGCCAGCCTGCTCTACAGAGTGAGTTCCAGGACAGTCAGAGCTACATAACGAGATCCTGTCTTCTAAAATCCAGAAATAAGACTGAGAATACTTGAAGATTTCCTCCCTCACAGATCATGGAGGGTGAGCTAGAACAGGTCCAGGAACCATACATCGGGACCTCTGTGGGTGGTAGGGGAACAACAAGGGAGTTTCTAGGCAGTTCGTGGACGGTGAGCTAGGGAACATCATGGGGTGGAGACAGATTTTCATTCCCACAAGGCTGAGACGCTGGGGTCTCCGCACTCTGCATCCGGGCCTCATGCTGAAGCCAGGGAAGGGGGCAAACATGAAGTTCAGGACCAACAGGGAATGCTTTTCCTGTCACTGAAGGGGAATGACCACTGGATGGACTGCTCAGCCTACCCTGTGCAGCCGGCCTCCTGTCCCCACGGTGGGGGGTAAATCCTGACACTCAGACAGAGTCCATCAGCGCTGATAAATATTCACCCAATGAGAGCGCAGTCCTAGCCCCGGGGTGCCAGGTAGCCAGGTGTGGATGCAACGCCTTTGCTCCTGTGGCCGGAGCTGTAGGTCTTTTTCCACCTTATTACCCTCCCCGGCTAGGAACAGATGGGGAGAAGGGACAATGGACCAGGGACCCTACTCTCCTTCCTTCTTGGACGAGGCAGCTGAAATCCCTCTCAGGTCTCAGACTTCACGAGGCCCAACTGTCAGGGAAGTACGGAAGATGCAAGACCCAATTCCTAAGACGTCAGCCTGTCTTTACTGCGTGCGCTTGCTTATGCACGCCAGCTACCTGGACTGGCACTGGCCCATGCCACCACTGCTCCCAGCCGGCTCCAACAGGACAAAGGACGCCTGGGTGTTTGCAGTGTGGCCAGCGAGCCACCGATTTTCTCTGCAGGTGGCTGAGGGTAAGACCGATGGCCCAGCGGCCAAGGGAGGTATCACTGGGGAGGCTCTTGGTTCCCTAGGAGCCAAAATCAGAGAGGTATCAAAGTCTTTGAGAAATCCGTAAAGTTAACATCTGGAAGAGGGTTTTGGTCAAAACAGAAAAACTAGCCCAGGTCATAGACCTAGGGCAGGGACAGGATCAGGGTCCACAGGCTGTTGACAAAACCTAATTCCTGAGTCCTTCCCCCGAAAGGGGGCGGGCAGGCCCTGAGATACCCGCCAGGGTGAGCTCTGACTCCCCCTCCCATGTCTCCAAGACAGAAGGACAGCAAAGTATTTCTGGTCGATCCTCGGAGGGTGCCAGAGCCAAGAGGTGAACTTCATGGGTCTGAAGTGGGAAGGTAGTCGCTGGGGAGGCAGGAGCAGAAAAAGGGGCGGTGGCCCACGCTCGCAGGAGTCAAAGTGAACGATTGTGAGCCGCGGAAGAAAAACCCTCGAGGCAGGGTGCCTACGCACCGCACCTTATCCCAGCAAGACTGGGTCACTGCTGGGGAGTCCTGGGCATCAGGGACAGATAAGAGGGGAAAGCGGATCGAACGGAGGGAATGAGAGAGCCATTGGGGGAGGGGCGGGGTCCCGGAGTGCATTAGCCGCGCAATGGGGCAGCAGGACCCACGTCTGCGCCCACCCTCTCGCCGCTCCCGGATTGCGCGCCCGGAGGACAGAAAGCAGAGGTTGAGACCGCCAACCTGACAGACGGTTAGGGATCAGGTGACTGACCAGACAGTAGGACCTATCCCCGGGCTGGAAACTGAGGTGTTCGACTGGGGCGAGAACCGCGACACCTAAGACACCAGGGACAGCTGGCCCCCCACATCCAGGCCCCGGGCCGGCTCCTCACCATCCTCCTCTGCGCGCCCTGGTCACGCCCGTGATCCAGCGCCCCATAGACCGCCTGAGACGGTCCCCAAGGGGCCCGACCCTGGTGCTTACTGTGCTCTGTCGCTCGGGCTAGGGCTGGGCGTCTCGTGGTCCTCGAGCTCGCTCAGGTTTGGGAGCTGGCAGCCACTCGTCTCCGCCGCGCTGCGATGGGGGTCCGGCGCCGGCTCCGCGCCAGCCGCTAGCAAACTTTCCGGCGGCGACGTTGGGCGGCGGCGAAGGGGGAGGGGGTGGGGGCGGGGGTGGCCGGCAGGGGACTGGGAGAGCCGAGGGTCCGCGCCCTGCGCCTTAGCGCAGCGGACCTGTTGCGAGCCCTCAACCCTCCCGGTGTAACCCCGACGGCCTCTCCCGTGCGGCGTTCGCTCTGCGGCTGTGCACCGAGCGCACCCGCTTCCCCTCCCCTCTGGCACACAGAGCCTTGCGCAGGACCTGACCCGGACTCCGACCCCACGGGTCCCTTCCGAGGACCCTCGCTTGGTGTACCGCGACCCTGAAGATCCAATCTTGCACACCCTGGACTTCAGGACCCTCCGCGAATGAATCCTGACCTGGCCAGCGCGGGTCTGAGCTCGCTAAGGAAAGAAATAGGATGTGACTCAGCGCGCCCCTTTCTCTTGCAATATCTGCTGTCCTGGGGTCGCACCGTTGCATTCAGGTTGCAGTCCAGATTTTCCGGAAGATTAAGTCCCTTACTTAAGTCCCATCTGGCTTCTGCGTGAAACTCTTGCAGTTGTCACACGTGCATCAATCACAGACGGGGGGTGGGGGGGTGGCGGTGCAGGAGGTAGGAAAGGTCAAGGTATAAGGGCTGCTTTGCAGGTTTTAGACAAGGGGATCCCCTAAGAGTGGCTCTTAATCCCGTGCCAGGTTACATCCCCTGTGGCCCTCAGGGACTCGTCCTGTCCATCAAGCCCCCTCCAGCACTGCTCCTTTGGCAATCCGTTGACCTGACCCGGACCTCAGTCCGCACACCCTTCCCGTTCCTCCTTTACTGAGGAGTCAAATGTTCTGAGCCCCAGGTTCATCTTTCACCTCCTAATCTCAGCCCTGCAAATTCTCTCCCGCTCTGTTGCACACCCCTGTGAGCCCTTGAACCACCTTTTAGGGCCTCAGCTCACGTCTGCTGGGGCACTCCCCTCTTGCCCAGTGACCTTGAGGTCAGAAACTCCCAAGGGTGCTTTTGGGCTTCACTTCTCTGGCTTCTCCACATCCTGTAACACTAAGGGTCATGTTGCTTTCTAGAAAGTTCTCCGTGTGGCTGTGGCTTTCAGGCCGGGTACTCGCTTTCTCGGGCTTTCGTGGAGATGTCCCTCCTCACGATTTCCACGGTCCCCAGACCACTCCTCCTCCTACTTACTACTGAGGGCCATGTCTCCTACCCATGCGCCATTTCCTGCACCTCTTACCTGCAGATCACCTGGCCGTGAATCCAAGGCTCCTCCAGCAAGAGTTTATTTCCTCTGGAACACATTTGGTCTCTTCTCTGTCACCTACTGGCCCCCTTCCCAGACCTCGCCTCTGGTCCTTGGATAAACTCTTTATTCAGATACTACCCTTTTCCAGGTCTCCATTTCTGTTTTAGGGGACAGTGAATCCTGCGCCCCAAGCTGTAGGTCCTCCACTGGTGAGCCAGTCTGCCCCCAAGTGCCTCTGAGGCAGTTCCTGCTTTGTACTCTGTCGGCACCGCAGGACGACCTCCATCTGGTCCCTAGTCCTCCTCCTGTGCAGTAGGACTCAGGAAGAGCGAAGATCTGGGCTCATTGTCTTCTGTACACCAATTTCAAAAATTCTGCACGGAGCCACCCTCTCTGTTTCACTCCCGGCAATGACCAGAAGGCAAAGACCTGTTTGCTTCTGCCATGCAGGGGCCGCTTGTGCAAGGCTGAGAAATACATGCAGCCCCTCCTTCAATTCCTCTTCCACCTCCCTGGGGAGCAGACTGGAAGGCTGAGCACCATGACCAAGGGCTGCCTTTCTGTGAGCTGGGTAATGAGACTTAGGGTGAGAGGCACCGTGAACTCTGTGACAATGTGGCCTCAAACTGAGGGTGCCAGCTCGCTCCTCGGGGGTCAGGGACAGAGTGGAGCAAGCAATGCATCTCGTTTGCCTCTGTCTTGGTTCAGTGGTTCACTTCGGCTTCTTGTCCCTCGCGGAGGAATCTTCACTGGCAGATATAGGACTTTCCTGGTGGGACCCTCGGAGGACCTTTCCATCCGGCCTTGTTTTCTTGAGGACAGAGTGTTGTGGGGGGGGGGGGCAGAAGGAAGGGACAGTTTTGAGAGTGTCTAAGAGGCAATACAGAGCTGGCTGCAAAGGCTGCCTGGCCCCTGGTAGGCTCTATGTACCTCACTGAGTCTGCTTGGTCACACTTCATCAGACTCCTGGACTGTTGGTGATCCCACAGGTGCTCAACCTTGTGAGATCCAGTTTTAGGGGCTGGAGAAAGACTCAGAGTACATACAGTATAAGCATGAGGACCTGTTTGGATCCCTGAACACGCATCTGTTGTGTGTACCTGGAGCCTTGCTGCTGGAGGTTATAGAGACAGGGGCTCACTGGGGCCTGCTGGGTGCCAAACCGGCCGAAAAACAGTGAGCTCAGGTCACAGAGAGACCCTGTCAACAGGGAGGAGGGCAGAGAGTGACAGAGGAAGACACCTTCAGCCATGCCTCTGGCACGGGTGTGTGAGCGTGTGTGCACGCTTGTGTATGTGTGTGAGTGTGTGGGGTGTGTATGCGTGCACACATATTGATGCATACAATTATAATCTATTTTGTTTTGGTTTTGGTTTTTTGGAGGCAAGGTAGCCCTGTGTAGCCCTGACTGTTGCGAACTCTCTCTAGACCAGGCTGGCCACAAACTCACTGAGATCTGCCTGCCTCTTCCTCACAAGTGCTGGGATTAAAGATGTGCACCATGATGCCCAGTTTCAGTGATGAGCCTGAAGTCTGTGGGAGCACAGACTCCTCAGCCTCTGCCTCCCCTACCCTGGTCTGCCGTTAGTTTGCATCCTACTAGGTTGATGTAGCAGATTTCCCTGAGCTGCTTCCATGGGCTGTTGGTTCCCACAGGCCATGCTGTGCTGAGCTCAGTTCCAGACCCAAGTGTCTGCCCCATAACAAGAACCCTGAATAAAGTGCTTCTGCCTCTTGACTGTTCGGCTCCAAGTTCCTCATATCAAGATACATAAACAGAGTGGAGATGAGAACGAAGGGGGCTGGGCCTTCCCATGCGTAGCCAGCGGCTGGGGGCCAGGGACCCGGATGGCGCCTGGTGTCCACACCATTGGGGGTTCTTAGTGAGAATGACCTCCCAGGAAATGCACTGTTTTGTGTTCCAAGACTGGCTGCACATTTGCTCAGAAAACAAGCTGAGGCCGTGCAGGGAAAGGGGCAGCAGCCAGTACTGCAGGACCCTGGGGCAGCAGAGTTGCAGCGTTGCCTTCCAGAGAGTTCTCTTCTCTCCCTTCACCTCTCCTTCAGGGTCCCAAATACCTCAAACCTGCCTTGGAGTGTCAACATTGGCAAAAATGACTTTAAACAAGTGAACGACTGGTCTTCCCACTTCCTGATTGCCGGGATTTCAGGCATTCGCCACCATGCCTGCATTCCTTTCCCCTTTCTGTTTTCTGTTTGTCCTGCTAGGATGGAATCCAGGCCTTGGGGCATGCAGGTAGCTGCTGTCCAGGCCCCTTTACTGGGGTAGCACAGCCCGTAGTTCAGGCTGATCTCAGAAGTCAAACATAGCTGAAGACTCCTCCTCCAGCCTCCGCTTGTAGCTAAGGGTAGCCCAGGACTATGTAGCTCAGGCTGCCCTAAGTTAAGTCTTCCGAGTGTTGAAATTACAGATATAAATCACTATGACTTGCTACCTTAGTATTTTGAGGCTGGAAGAAGGCACTAGATGGGAAATTGTGACCTAGGAAGCAAGGGTGTTGGGAAACAAAGTTTGGTCTTCTGAAAGAACAGGATGTGCTCCTAACTGCTGATTCATCTCAAAGAGCACTTGGGACCAAGTGTTCAAATGCCCAGGACTACGCGGAACATCCCAAACCACCGCATTACCTGTGTCCTGTAGTCCCAACACTCGGGATGTGAGCCAAGACACGCTGGGCAAATGTGTGAGGTCCTGGCTACCACTGAACTGCATTCCCAGTCCTTTTTTAAATACCTTGTTTCTGGAAGCAAGTTTTATTAAGTTGTCCAGCCTGACACTGAACTCTTTCTATACATCTTTAATTAATAAAAATTTTTGGGAGGACTTTTTTTCTTTTTTCGAGACAGGGTTTCTCTGTGTAACAACTCTAGCTGTCCTGGAACTCATTTTTGTAGATCAGGCTGGCCTCTGCCTCTCGAGTGCTGGGATTAAAGGCATGTGCCACCACTGCCTGGCTATAAAGATGTTTTAAATTGCATTTTTTATTTGTTTGTGTGAGATGACTCATCAGATAAAAACACCTGCTGTCAAATGAGGTCCTGAATTCCAACCTCAGGTCCCATGGGATAGAAGGAGAGAAGTGACTCTTTCCGGGGTCCTCTGACCTGCATGGGAATACCTTGGCATGGGTATATCTACACACACACACACTAAAATAAGCTATCAGGTGGCAAGCTTTCTTATAGATTTTGAGTATAAATCTTTCATTAGAAACCTGTTTTGGGCTGGAGAGATGGCTCAGAGGTTAAGAGCATTGTCTGCTCTTCCAAAGGTCCTGAGTTCAATTCCCAGTGGCTCACAACCATCTGTAATGAGGTCTGGTGCCCTCTTCTGGCCAGCAGGCATACACACATACAGAATATTGTATATATAAGAAAGAAAGAAAGAAAAAAAGAAAGAAAGGAAGAAAGGAAGGAAGGAAGGAAGGAAGGAAGGAAGGAAGGAAGGAAGGAAGAAAGAAAGAAAGAAAGAAAGAAAGAAAGAAAGAAAGAAAGAAAGAAAGAAAG